TTCTGAAATTTGTGTCTCGTGAAGTTTTCTTGCAGCTTATTCTTAAGTCGGTTAAGTTACTTAAATTTTCAATTTTCAATAGATATTTATCATTAAAATACTATTTATGTATTGTACAATAATATTCTAAAATAATTTTTTCTATATTTTGTGCGAATATAAATTTTTATTGGGGCTTAAAAAATTGTGTCATGGGCCCCAAGATGGACAGTTTAGAAATCCTAAGATGGACACCACACTGTACAAATAAATCTTGCTTAGACTAATTTGACTAAAACCATATTGTATACATTAGAAACATTTTTAAATGCATTATAGCCTTAAAAATATGATTCTAAGTTCTGAAATTCACTTAATCTAGTTTTAAGCATAAAAATAGTCTACTTTTAATTATTCTGATTGTGAGATGTAAACGGCTTCAGACTTTGTTTTTTATATTTTTATTTACTTTTGTTTTCGATTATACACAATCATCAATAGTTTTTTGGGATTTTTTTTGGAGATTATTAAGAAGGTGTCCATCTTGGGGCCACTTTTTTTTTAAATCGAAAATTTTGACAACTTAAAAAAATACTTTAAAAAATCTGTATATGTTCAGAATAAAAAATTTTTTCTGTGGTCAAATTATTGGGTTTGTATTCTAGAACATTAAATTGAAACCATGTCCATCTTGGGGCTCTTTTCTCTAAATAAAAATCAAAATAGAAGAAATTTTTTAAAATTTTTCAAAATCAAATCAAACAAATTATTGACTTTTCAGAAAAGTCAAAAACCAAATTTTTTTTTTTAACTTTTTCATATAGAGAATAAGCTTTTTCATGAGAACAAAATAATAAATTCTAGTCATCGACAGAAATATTCTCAGTTCCCTTACTACTATTTTTATATAACCTGGAAATAATAATAAGAGATAGGCAAAAAATTTAATAACTTTTTCAAGTTTCATAATCAAAAAATAGTATCCTTCACATATATATTAATATATAGTTTTCACGCATACAACAGCAAAAGGCCATATTGAACATGTATAAAGAAGAATTTTCAAGTTATCTGGGTCATCTAAAAATATAAGGCGAGATTTTAAAAGCAACCAGATTATATGGTTGTTAGAAGTTTTCTTCAATTTCACCATACATCGAAAATTGCAAGCTAAATATGCCATTAAACTAAAAATAATAATAAAACTCCTTTCTCTACTGATTAATTTTGTAAAACGCAAACTTTTTGAGCTTTTGAATTAAAAAGCAAAAATTTATTAAGCTTCCAGTGGTGCTGCAGATACTGACTTTATCACTACTTATTTCTCAGGCGTTTTCGCTGCCCGTTTTATTTATAGACTTAATCAAGTCTATGGAAGATAAACCGAAAAAAGAGACTAAAGTTTTTTTTTAAAAAAGAGAGAAAGTAAATGATGATAAATTTGTTAATAACATTTTCTTTTGTCATTTTTTTATTCTCGGAATATTTTTTAAAGCAAAATTTGTAATAAAAAAGTTTTTTTTTCAAAAACATTAAAGAAATGTTCATGAACATTTGAAATGAAAAAAAATGTTTAATTTCAGTTTTATTATTGAAAGAAAAAAAATTCTTTATTTTAAATGAGTATTTTCCTTTTGAAAATCAAGATAAATAACTTCTGACGTATTTTCAGCGTGCTTATCATAAGAGCGTCTTTATAAATGAACTCAATTGAATTATAAAATATTATTTATGAAAAACACCCAAAATGCAATGTACTTTTTTATTATATTCAGTTTTTAAAATGCAAATTGAAATTTCCAATTTGTATTGATAAGATCTGGGATTTAGAGAATTATATTTGGCGGAAAAATAATCAAAGATCCACTTTCAATTATGTAAAATTTATCCGCAATCAAGTTTTACAGCCTGTCAAGTGCGTAATGCAATAGAGTATACGAGCAATTCTTTACGCGTGTCGAGATAATTTCTTTTTTTAATTTAATTAAATTCGATAATTTATTTCATTAATTGGCATTTTAAAAATGTTTATTTTTAAATAAAACAAAACAAAAACAAATTATAACTGGGGAATAAAATTTAATTAACTTTCTACTTTAATATAAATTAATATAAACTAATCTTCAACGCTTTACTTTAAGGTAAATTAATTTTAATTAAAAACTAAAATTTAAAAGTATGTAATTAAATTAAATAAATTATTAATAATTAATATTAATTTTAATAATACTATATAATTAACATTAATAGTAATTATATGAATATTACTAATTTAACTAATAATTAATTATTTGAATAGTAATTAAATTTCGTCCCAAAGGCGAAATTTAATGCAAAAAATATTTTTTCGGATTTAAGTAATTAAAAACTTTTTTAATATTAAAAAATTTGTTTTTAGTTGAACAAATACTTATATATTTTAATAAATTAACCTTTGGAAATTAAATTTTTTGCGTTGTTAATTTTTCAGGAAGAGAGAAAGAGAAGGAGAGAAATGGAGAATACGTTTCATTGGTTATCATCAACGACCAAGCAAACATTAAAAATAGGTCGTCTATTCTGCAAAGCTTATATATCTGATGACTCAAAAAAGGGGTGAAAAATCAAACTACTAAAATTCAGCGCAATTGAGTGCAAAAATTAATTAAATAAAAAATAATTCTTTATAAAAATTATCGAATTATAAAATTAAAATTATAAAAGAAAAAAATGTTAATAAGATTAATGGAAATAACAATTAAAAAAATAAATAATACAAATTACTATTTGTTTTTGACCTTCTGAATTTTTAAATCACGTTAAATTAATTAAATTTTGGCAAAGAAAAAAAAATAGAAATTATTTGTTTTTTGCTGTCAAAACTAAAATTTACTTCAAATAAATTAATTAACAAATAAAGTTAAAAACCTAATATATTTAATATATTATTATTACTATGCAAATTACAAAATTTTTTTATTTGAAATATCAACTTTCATTTTTGAATTCAAAAATTTAGATTTAAGATTAAAGAAAAATTCACTTATTAATTAATTATTAATTATTAATTATTTTCAAAAATTTTAATGAAATTCTTCTCTGAAATTTAATTATGTATTTTCAATACAATTTTAATAAAATTTATCAAAAGAATCCAATTATTTTTATAAATTTTAATAAATTTCTTCGAAAGAATTTAAATATTTTCAAAAAGTTTAATAAAATTCTTTATAAGAATTAAATTATTTTATAAAATTTTGATAAAACTCATTATAAGCATGCACAAATTTTAATAAAATACTATGCAAGAGTTAAATTATTTCTGATTAAAAATTATAAAAGTTACAAAAATTACAAATTTTTTGTTTCAAAAATGTTATATTTTAAGATTTAAATAAAATTACTTACAAATTAAAAATTCTGGAAAATAAAATAATTTAATTTTTATTGCAAAAATATTGTATTACAAAATTTGTTTTCTAAATCTTTAAATTTGAATCAAATTAAATTTTGAATTCAACATTTTGAACATCAAAATTAAGAAATAATTTATAATAAATTATTTTAGTTATTTTACTTTTATTTATTTTATCTGATGTAAATAAATAATTATTTGTCAAAAATAATTTCTATTTAATCCAAATTGAGTGATTAAAGACGAAAATTATTGATTCAATCATACAATTTATTTGACTTAAATAAAAACTATATTTGTTATACTCCAAAAATTATTCAACAAGAAAATATTTTTTATTATAATAAAATAATTGATTATTTTAATGAACTAAATTTTTTTAATGATAAATAATTTTAAAAACTGGTTTATTCAAAATGTGTACAAAATAAACAAAAAAAAAAATTATGAATCAACTTTTGCAGAAAGTAAAAATTATTATTTACAAATTCAATTTAATGAGATTTTAAATAATAAAGTTTTGAAGATGCCAAAAACTTGCCAAATTCTCCTCACAAACAATGAGCGATCAATTACCAAATTAAGTATTTGGAAAAAATTGTAAAAATACCAATATTCTTGAAAAAAATATAAATATTATAAGAAAACATTAAATTCCATTTAATGAAAAAATATCCTCACATATATTATTATTTGTTTAATTCTTACTTCATTTCTCTTTCCTTTGAGACCTTGTCATACATGACGTCATGCATTTTTCAAACGTTTTGATCTCCCCTTCCCCTAATATATATATTGGACGTAATTTTATGTTTGAGAATCTAACTTCAAAGTAAAATACTATATTACATATAGACAAAATAATAATACACGTTCTCAAGGAAAAAAAAAGTTCAAACTGTCAATTTAAATTCTTTCCTCTCGTCGAAACAATAAAGAAAAATTCACCATTTCGTTAAACTGCAAAATAACCAAATTCGAACTTTTCAAAACTAATAAGAAAAATGTTTAGATAAATAATAAATACCTAGAATTTTGTTTTAAAAAATTGCTGAACACACAGGAAACTTGATCTTCTGCATCTGCTATATGTGTAATCTGTCAGAGCTCATTATTTCGCAAGTATTCGAGACGGTGATCTTACAATTGAATAAATGAGTTCATCAATCAAAGGAGTAGCGCTCTAACACAATACATATATACATATATATACATACAGTGAGAAACAAAACAAAGCAATTTCTTTTTTTCAACAAAAATTCACTTATCAATTTGATGCTTATTTGCCCCCTTTAAAAAAAAATTAAAAAGAGTACAAGACCTTGGCTAAGAAAATAAAATTTAAAAAAATATCACGACCTTGAGCAAGCCATGAGCCACAAAAGCATCTTGAGAAAACTGAAACGTTTATACATAGCGTTTCTCTCTCTCCGTAAGGCAACCGCTAACAAAGTAAGGTTAACTTTCATTCCACCCGCCGTTTCTCCATGTTCACAAAAACAAGTTTTTCGTTTAGTTCACACGCAGCAACGGCAAAAAAAATACCCAATGAATACTCCCCGCCAGAGGAGCTTAAAAATTAATTGAATTTCACAGTAGAAAAAATTAATTGTCAACTTATTCTTACCTTGTCATCTGTCACATTCTCTCCGGCTACGCCACTGAGAAGTGAAAACCTTACAGGTGAAAATCGTTGGGAACAATAATTGATCAACAAAAATTATTTTTACAATGTTTGTCCGTCACTTGTTTATCATTATAATGTTGACTTTAATTTTCTTGAAAATTTCAATTCACACATGAAAATTTACACTATTCTTTTGTTAATAAACAGCATATCGTATTTTACATATGAGCCATCTTAAAAAAGCAGGCCTCAAACCACCTCAAACACAAGCGAGAGCAATACAATACTATATGAACGTAAAACGCTGTTTGCAAGTGACGCAAAGCAGAGTGAGCGAGAGAGGCGGAAGAGAGAGAGATGGGAAAATTTGTTCAAACAGTTCCAGACAATGGCACCGATGGCGCTAACTGTCAGACACTCCTTTGAAGGTAATAAGGGTAACAAGCAAACAATCATTTCTAGATTATCATTGTGTTCTTAATATTCATTTAATATTGTTTAAGTTTTTTATTCTTCTATAATTAAAAGTTGAAAATTCAAATTTTATGCAAATTTCAACAGATTGAAGAGGAGTAGAGTGTAAATAACGTTTAACGGTAATTTATATATGTAATTCCACAACTACCCGGCGCAATTTTATCGGTAGAGTTCTATTCGTAATTTGTCAGTTAACTCAGAAATGAACGGAATATTTATAAATAATTAATGACAATGCAAGTTTTTATAACATATTTTATATACATTTTGCAATTTTAAAACCTCCTGGCGCGTAAATTGTAAAGCGTCCATTTTGAGGTTAGGTTTTTAAAAACTTTCAAAGTCGTTTCAAAACTTTGTAACAAAATATTTTTTTCCGAGCTAAAATGTGAAAAGATTGTTTGCTAATTGACAAATGAGCTGATTAACAAACTATTCTTAATAAATAAGTAGGAAATTATTTATTAAAAAATTTATACCAATGGAAAGATTTCTGATAAATGGATTGTTTTTAAAGTAAGTATTTCATAAGAGGTTATATTTTGTCGCAAATCGCAATAAATCGGTAAATTTCGTTATTTTATGTACAATTTTAATGATAGAAACACTTTTATTTTATATTAATATTATTATGGAACTATTATATCTATCTAATATTGAAATTATCATATTAATATAATATTAATTATTTTATTAATATAATTATTACAATATTAATTACAGGTCTTGGATAATACGATTTTCGACTAATTTTAATAAATTGCGACTATTTTGACGTTTCTGACAAATTTTTTTTACAAAAAAATAACAACAGGGTTACCGGAAAAAATTAATTTTGTTTTCCCTGATTTCTAGACAAAATTTCGAACTTTTTCCCTGACCCTAAAAAATATTCTGATTCACACTCTAAAAATGATTATAGATTCTCAAAAAAATGTTCTACAATTTATTTACAAATTTCTTTAATTGTAAAATTGTTCGAAAACATCACTGGTTTTATTTCAAATAAATATTTAATTATATTATTAAAGATGACCGAGTAGGATGAAATCATTATTTTATATTATAAGAATATTGTTACTGAAACTTTTACAAAATTATTTTCATCATTTCAATTCAATTATTATTTTTTAGAATTTTTAACTAAAATTCTTCTCTAAATCAATTACCTATTTTTTAATAATAATTATTAAAAAATTTCTTTGAGAATTTTTAAATCCATTTGTTGACAATTCAAATTTACGAAACTTCGATTATTCAGAAATTCTTCAATTAAATACATATTTTAGAAAATAAAAACTTCGTATAATTTAAAAAAAATTCAATTAAACTTTTTCAAAAAAAATTAATTCTACAGGCCGCGGATATTATGACTTTTTTCAAATAATACGACTTTTATCGACTTATATTAAAAAAAATTCGGCTTTTTCGACTTTTTTTTACAAATGCTGCGACAAAATATCACATATTTTTAGTATAAATTGCAACTTATTTCGATTTTTATTAGTGTTAAAAGTATAATAGACAAATCTTTGAAAAGTTATTTTTGAATAATTTTTCTAATGAAATTTTCGAAATATACAATTAAAAAGCTTTTGAATAATTGAAATTTTGTAAAATTCAATTAAAAATAATTGATTTTTTTCAAGTATATTTTATTATAAATTTTGAAAAATCAACTTTTGAGGAATTTCAATTTGCAAAATTTTGAAAATAATTTAATTCTCAAAAATTTTAATGAAAAATCTTTAAATGTAAATTTAATAAGAATGAAAATTTATGAAAATTAGTTTCTAAAAATAATATTAAAATATTTTTGAAAAAAGTTTCAATTTTTTTTCAATATTTTCGATTACATATTTCCGAAAATTCAAATACATACAAGAAATAAGAATTTATAATATTATTTATAATAATAAAGAAAAAAACATTTTGGAGAAAATAATCAAAATTTTTAATTAAAATTCTTTAAAAAATTAATTAGTTTTTTCAAAAATTTTATCAAATTTCAATTATTTTTCAAAGATTTTACCAAATTCTACAGAATTGTTACAACTGAAAGTATGAAAAGTAGAGATTTTCAAAGATTTTAATTTAAAACCTTTTCAAAATTTAATTATTTCTAAAAATTTATGCTATTATGCTTTTAATATTCAATAATTGTCTAAAATTTTAAATAAAATCCATTTTTACATTCTCATCATATGAGAAAGTATTAGTTTTGGTCGAAAATTGACTTTCGCTAATTTCATGAAATCTCGACGTTTTGGGGTCCCCTGAGTCCGAAAAACATGGTCTAAAAAAAGTGTCTGTCCGTATGTCTGTCTTCGTGTCTGTCTGTAGACACAATGGTGTCCCTACGATAACTCTTGAAAAACTTATTGCATCAACTTGCAACTTTGTATGCACAAAGTTAGTGTTAAAATACAGATCGAGTTCGTTAGCCAGCAATTTTCGTCGAAAACTACGCAAACTACAGTAGTTTCAAAATTTTGAAAATTCAATTTTTTCAAATTTCATTATTTTTAACTTTATATTACTTTAGATTAGACAAATACAAACAACTTTTCTCTACAACATTTTTTCATAGAAAGTCAAATTTCGAAGTTATAGGCTCTTAAATAGTAAAAAAATACTCAAAAATTCTAAAATAAAGCTAAAAATCAAAATTTCTCAAAGAGAAAAAAATTATTACATTAATTTCCACATATTCTCACCCCATTGTACTCAAAAAATGCTCACATTAACCAAAAACTAGTAATTTCCGGAAAAACCACCGTATATATATATTTTTTATCATTTTTTTAACAAAAAATCCATATTCCGACTCAATTATCTCCAAAACTATTGCCTATGGGAGCTTGCTGCCAGAGACTTTTTTTCTCGTCTTACCATCAGCTACAACTTTGCTGTTGACAACTTTTCACTAAACTTAAAACTTTTCGACTTATTTGCAAAAAACTAATTTTTTATTACATTCTCATCATATGAGAAAGTATTAGTTTTGGTCGAAAATTGACTTTTGCTAATTTCATGAAATCTCGACGTTTTGGGGTCCCCTGAGTCCGAAAAACATGGTCTAAAAAAAGTGTCTGTCCGTATGTCTGTCTTCGTGTCTGTCTGTAGACACAATGGTGTCCCTACGATATCTCTTGAAAAACTTATTGCATCAACTTGCAACTTTGTATGCACAAAGTTAGTGTTAAAATACAGATCGAGTTCGTTAGCCAGCAATTTTCGTCGAAAACTACGCAAACTACAGTAGTTTCAAAATTTTGAAAATTCAATTTTTTCAAATTTCATTATTTTTAACTTTATATTACTTTAGATTAGACAAATACAAACAACTTTTCTCTACAACATTTTTTCATAGAAAATTAATTTTTTTTTTTTTTAAGTTTTTGGGTCAGGCTAGCTTAACTGGGTTAAAAAAGTTTTATTGATTTTCTAAAATGTTATAACTAAAATATATTCATAAAAGTTTTAACATTTTAGAAAATCAATGAAATTTTTTTAATGCAGTTTGGCTGGTCTGACCCTTTTTTACATTTTAATTTTTGGTCCTATCTTGTTGGAAATGGTTTTTTACATTCTAATCACATGAGGAGGTATTAGATTTGATGAAAAATTGACTTTTTATACCTCAGGTTGAATGAAAATGGCGACCTTTTTTTCCCATGGACAAAAAAAACAGCTAGTCCCATGCGTTATTTTTGCTCATGGAAAAAAAATGCCGCCATTTTCATAGAAGTCGAACAAGTGAATGAGTTTTACTCCCTGTCGTCTGCTTTCTTAAATCGCCACTTTTGTGCCTTTGGAATAAAAAATATCGTAAGTTACACGGGACTTAAAGGCTGCCTTTACGGTACCTTGTTGCTTAATATACTATTTGTTAATTTTATGAAATCTTTGCGTTTTGAGGTGCCCTGAATCCAAGAAACATGGTCTGTCGATTACGTCTGTCTGTCTGTCTGTCCGACGATAACTTTTGAAAAACTTAATTTTTTCAAAAACTTTTTTCGAATTTTTGACTTTTTGTCTCAGCTTAGTGGAGGTGTTTTACTTTTGCTTGTTAAAACGATGGGTAAATATCACATTCACTGTATCCAAATTTACATGTTTTTAATCATACACTTGATATATATTTACAAATCACGTATATAGGGAAAACGGGACATAATGGCTAAGGGGCGTAATGAATAATTGTAATTTATTTAAAAATCGTAAATCGAAATGATTTCACTCCTAAGACAACTTGATGTACTGCAAGTTTCTACAAAGGTTGATTATTTATTATTCAATAACTATTGTAAGAAATATAGTAGAAAATCTGTATTTCACATATGAAAGTAACTTTTCAAAATTTTCATTTTTTCATTCTAATTTTTTTAAAATAACTTTAAAAAAGAAACTAAAATCGCGTTTTAAGCTTGAAACATTTTTGAGGGTCAATTTTAGATTTTTGATTCACACTTACTGTATTGATAAAAATTACAAAATATTTCCTAAGTACCCCTAGGGCGTGTTGGCTAATGCAACACGCTATGTATAACCCGTGTAGAAATTTACCGTGGAAGTGTATGAGAAACTGTCCAGTTGCGCTAGATTCAAACTAGCAACTAGATGGGAAAAAAATTGGACAAGTGCGAGTTGTACTCGCACTGCAATGGCGGGTTCCGCACACAAATATTAAAACAATACTTGTAACATTGATCGGTAATTGGTAGAATTAAAATAAACAATTATAAAAATATATTAAAATCATTTGATAAAAAAAAATAACTAAAAAAAGTTAAAGTATTGTATTTCTAATATTGTAAACAATAATAAGCA